ACCTATTTACGTACCTAAAATTGTGTGCGCTATACAATGTTTGCTATTAAGTTAGATACACAGCTATTAAAACTTCGCTGCAAATACATTTTTTTATTATTTTCTCTTTTTTTTAGTTTATACTAAATTTTTCTGCGAATGATATGCGATGTATAACTACTATTAGCTCTGAGTACAGCTATTTTCTAAAATTTCCATGTTACGGACATTTTTTGATTGGAATACGTTGCACTTAATTTTTTTCCTACGCCCTAATGTATTTACGTAATTTTCTTAAAGCCAAAATTTCGCGCCAGTCATACGATCTTAAATATTATTACAAAAGTATTGCAGCGCCATTAATTGAAGAAAATGTCATTCACCATTTGGGATTCTTTCACAATTCCTCACACAATTTTTATTACCAACACAAATTTACAATAAAACAGAAATGTATTTACATATCGTCGCCTGAAATGCAAAAAAGACGTAACAAGCATCATCGCAGAAATGTAAAAAGTCATAACTAGTAAAAAAAGTCGAAATTCATTTTTTGATTTATATGATGGATGTCATCGAATCACAACTCTCGACATCATTTTATGAAAAAAATATATAAATATTAGGCATGACTCTTTCCATTTCAGTTGCGATGTTGTTACGTCTGTTTGCATTTCAGATGACGATGTATAAAACGTATTGTGCTCACGATAAATTCGATTATTCCAAAAAGAAATTATAATACAAAAAATCAAAAATAAGTGTTGCAAATCGTGCGCGGCATACATGAGCGCCAAAATTTTTACAAAAGTTAGCACCGAAGAATAATTAATGATACACATGTGAAAAATGTCTGTTATGTAAAAAGTGCATAGCCATCGAAGCTGAGTGGTGGAGAGGTGCGAACTTCCGTCCGATCCAAAATTTAAAAGGCTGGTCGTCCGTTGACAGGCAATGGCTTCTTTTAAAAACCTTCCACATACAGAGGCGGTGTAAAATTGTAGACACCTCCATTTGTGTTATGACATTTAGACGCGCACCAAAAATTGTAGGCGATGCTCGTCTCAACACTTTTAAAGCCATTTTTCTTCCTTTTTTGGTATTTTTTTTTTTAAATATGTACGCCATTCTTTCACATATTCTAAGTATTTATGTGTACATATATATGTATATTGGAATTATAGGCTTATTAACTCTGTTTTGTCACTTCGAACCCAGATCATTGCCTCGTTCGTAAATGATATTAATTCTAATCACTTCCGGAACATCTTCTACCCATTACACTTGGCTTCATCAAGTACTATTCTACATACATACACATTTACATATGTGCGTAAATACTTTTCCACTTCCACCATTTGCCTCTTATTTATAGTACCTTGAAGCTGACAGCCAGCCAATTAAATACATAATTTAATTTGAATTCAGTTGCATTGTTTGCGAACTTGATTTTATTGTCAACGCCAACGTCGTTGCTGGAGTGAGTCCATACAATATTTTGAAATCATCTTCGATTTCTAGAAATTGACCTAAGTACATATACATATACACCTAAGTAATTGACTAGCTTTACCTAACGTGCGATGTGTGTGGTTTGCTCATTGCCCGGAATGCACGTTTTTCGCTTTTTTCCCTTTTTTTACTCTTCGACCTTAAATACAACATTTCAACTAATGACCATCATCATTAAAGCAATAGATTTCTAAATAACAACAACAATAACATTTAGATGTTATTATTGTGAATGTGTGTCATCTGTTTGGAAGAAGGAAGTAAACATTTAGTCACACTCAATTCGAGATTAAGTAAGGGGCCAATGTACTGCATGCAGCGGTTTCAGTTTCATTTATTTACATGTTATACATATAAACATTAGTACAATAAGATATAATCTTATTTACAGAGAAAAATTAAGGCAAAAAAATAAAAAATAAAATAATAAAACATTTGGCTGCTACACAGCTTTAAAATCTTCTTTTTTCCTTCCAATGTGACAGCGCTTGCGCAGCCGTGGCGCCTTCTTGAGTTTTTGTGTAATGTGCCACGGGTTTTAGGATAATTCAAGTCTTTCTATGATTTATAATCGAAGACATGTAGAATCATTTGTTAACTAAAATTATTTCTTTTGCTCCAATATATTACTACAAGTTATTTCTTACTCTCCGACAGTCATATATACATACATACATACGTATAGTATCTATACCCAGTACGGCATAGTTCAACCAATTACCTCGGAAAAAATAATTTATTTCTACTTAAATTTCTACTTAAATTGATGTATAATCACCTAGCAGCCTAATTGAGATAAACCAAATGCTTACACTGTTCATACATATCTTTGCAAATAATTCAATATTCGTTAAAAAATCATCTAACTTTGGGCAATTAACAATTTCAGCATCTAATACTAAGTAATTTTAAATGGATGGAAAAGACATCTGCAAAAGAAACATATTGACTTTGAAGTGCTTTAAGCCAAATGCATTTTAGGATATCGACATATTAAAGTCAATAGTTCGTTCCAGGGAAGAAATTCAGATCTTCAACCAGTTGTGGTGGTTAAACTGGTTAAACATGGATATTTAAATTCGTTTCTTTCAGTACTGGGGATTTATATATATACATATGTGTGTGAAACATACAGGGCAAATGTAATTATCTCCGGTGGATTTTGAATTTTATGTGCCCTTCAAACAATTTTTTCAGAGTATTCTAAATTGTAGTGTAATTTTAAAGAGTTTGTAATGATATCAAACGATTTTTTATCGAGTTTTGTAAACTGAAATAAATTGTGCACACTTTGAATCTTTTACGAAATTTCTGAAGAAAATCGGTAAAGCAGTGAAAATATTGTTGCTATCTATGTAAACAATTTCTTGCAGATTTTTTTTCAAAATTTTCTTTATTTTTCGTACAGAAATTTCTTTACGAGTTCGTGTCAACCACTTCATATAAATGAAAAATCGTAAAATAAATCGTTACAGAAATTAGATACTCCTAAAGATTTCGTTAAGATTTCGGGAATTTTTTTAATTCTGACGCCTATACATACAGTGTTGCACATATCATTTTGGACTAATTTATGTTTAGTTATAAATTTTTAGGATTTTTTCAATTAAAATACAGTTCGTTCCCTAACAAATACGAAGCTTAAAACTTTTCACCTAAATTCCCAAGTATTTTCTCAGAAGTGTTAAATTTTTTTGGAGAATGCAATTTTAAAGCCCATTAAATTTTGGCTGATGTGAAAGTTTCAAATGGATAAAAATGACCGCTGATTTTTTCGATTTTTTTTTTTTGCCGAAGGTGTTACAGTTTTCTTCCATATAAGCATAAATTGTGTTTATACGTTATATGAAAGCAAATGCGCAAAAAGATTCTAAAAAATCAGCGGTAATTCTTAGCTATTTGAAACTTGCATGTTATTTCACTAGAATTGAAAGGGCTGTAAAATCGTATAGCTCAAAATGTTTTAACAAAAGTTTGAACAAAAATTTTTTTTTGTTTTTCAGTGTACTACAAGCTTTTCAGCTGGCATTTGCTATGAAATGAACTGTATTTTAATTGGAAAATCTTAAAAACTAATGAATATTTAAACATAAGTGGCAAACAATAACATTTTAAATTTGGTCCAAAACGATAATTCAACACTGTACATATGTACTTACATATACTTCATGAAGTCAATTTAACGTAAGGCTGAAATCACAGTGCGCACTACAAATATTAGCACAGCTTTGAGCGCGCGATTCTTAAATTTCGCTTTCAGTTTTGCCTTTGAGCTTTGGATATTTTATTATTTATTTATTTGCGCTTTTTTATTCACCTTTTCTATTTACTAAACGTTCGTCGGCGGTTTGCTAATGACGATAGGACAAAAACTGCGTAAAGCAGTAATGGGAGCAAACTTTAAACTTTTTTAAGAATAAAAAGCTTTTGTCTCAAAGCAAAAATGTCAAAGCCACTTTGCTGAGCATTGCGAGAGATCGAGTGTACACATTTGTATATTAACCGCGTCAATCATGCGCAGTGCCGTTACAGTCTGTCTTTGAACGCGGAGCCGTTAAGATCGACCGACTAGAGCTTAAAGCGAGGGAGAAGAGCTAATATTTATATGTATATTTTCATTCACTTTGATTGATGATTTATTTGACAGCCTGCAAAGTGTTATTTCATAGCTTTTTCTTCGTTGCAGTGGCTACTTTTTCGGGTGATTTTTTTTTTTTTTAACGCGTGTGCGTTGTTAACAAACCGTTTCTTAAATAGATGTGCTCATTTTACGCAGTTGTTTTCTATCAAATAAATATATCAGTTAGTTATTGTATACTAAACATTTAAGTGTCAAGTATAAAACTATTCTCACAACAAAATGGCTGATGTGATTGAGAAGGTAAACGCTGCTGAGTGCGAAGAAATCGCAGAGCTTGAGCAAAACAAAAGCCAAATTGAAAAACGGGTGAGTTAGAAGAGGTTTGACGGAGCAGTGGGGTGACAAAATATGTAAAGTATTTTGAAGTACAATAACCATTAAATATATGCGTATAACAAACGGGTTATGCCA